TATTATTTTTAATATACTAAGAATATATTATTTAATAATTATTATATAATAATTCTCTTAAACATGTAATGTTATATATATTTATTGGTTATCCACCCACCGTGTCAATTAAAATCAATTATACTTGCAACATTCTTGACTAAATTACTGCATTAATCTTTGTGCTAAAATCATAAATCCTAAGGCAAGCAGAGGATGCATGTGCTCACCGCTTCCCCGAAGTTTTCATTAGGGTTCCTTGAATGTTTCCAGCTGGTACAAAGTTTTTGCCTTTTAGGATGCCGAAGAATTTGTGCATGCTTTCCTAGGTGTCTTGTGAACGTGTATGTGCTGATGTCCATCTCTGCCCCCATGTGCACCTTGACATCTTCTCTTCTCCTTATATGCTTCTTCCCTCCTCTCCCTCTCCTCATTTCCTTTCTCTCTTCCTTTCTCTTCATTCCCCTTCTCTCTTCATGGCTCCTGGCTTTAAACAGCAACTCCCACAGGTGGGAGCAGCCGCACCCCACAACACCTGCAGCAGCAACATTTCAGGTGATGGTCAAGTTCTTCTTAAATCGAAAGTCACCGTGGTGGGTAGTGGGAATTGGGGCAGTGTTGCTGCTAAGCTCATTGCTTCAAACACCCTCAAGCTCGGATCTTTTCATGGTAAGTCCTTTCTTTTTTTCACCTTTAGTTGTTTTCTGTTGTTCTTTGCATGTAAAGGTTGTATTGTAATCAGAAATTTGGTTTTTTTTTTTTTTTCTGTTTATGCCATTTGTTTCTCATGTGATTCTGTGCAGCGCTGTGAATGCATTTGGTTACATAATTGATTAGTGTTTGGTTGATGGGAAAATGAGAACAAGAATTCAATGTTTTAGATTATGTGATGGATATTCTCTCAAAACCATAGTAAATACTACTACTAAGCATGATTGAGGTTTAAAGTACTAATAAGAGGATTAAGATTTATGGTTCTTTTATTAATGCACTTATCTGTGCAGCATTTAATGCCAATGGAATTTTATTTTAGAGTTGAGTTTTAATTATTCCATGGAATTCAGAGGAAGTGAGGATGTGGGTATTTGAGGAGACATTGCCAAGTGGTGAGAAGCTCACTGATGTTATCAATCGAACTAATGTAAGCACTAGAGAGCCTAGATTGGAGTTTGGTCATGTTTTTTTCATAGTCTAATTGGTTTTGTTTCCTGCTGTAGGAAAATGTTAAATACCTTCCTGGTATTAAGCTTGGTAAAAATGTTGTCGCAGATCCTGACCTTGAAAATGCAGGTACTTTTTGATTTTATGCTTTCCCTAGGTGTCTTATAATTCAGCTGATCTAAGTTTAGGAGGCTGAAAATTTGGTGGATGCATAAAAATCTTTTTTTTTTTTTGGGTGTATTTTGGGTTTTGCAGTTAAAGATGCAAACATGTTGGTTTTTGCTACCCCACATCAATTCATGGAGGGTATATGCAAGACGCTTGTTGGAAAAATAAAGACAGATGCAGAGGCTATTTCTCTTGTTAAAGGGGTGGAGGTCAAGATGGAAGGCCCCCGCATGACCTCCAATCTTATCTCAGAAAAGCTAGGGATTAACTGCTCTGTGCTGATGGGGGCAAATATTGCAAATGAGGTAATCAATATACACTGT